CCTGGCCAATAATTTCTAAAAATTACAAACTTGTGGGTTTTAAAATATTTTCTTTATCTTTCCTTTCACCTACCCAAAATGAACTCAGGGGATTCCTAAAATGGTGGCTTTTTTGGGCACAACACTATTGTATGGGTTCCACTAAAATTGTGATAACTAAGGTCTTAAGAAAACAACAATTTAGATAGAGCCGGCTGATTCAAAATTGTCGGTGGCAAACCAGTCCGCGTGAAATATCGAGAACTGACAGGTTCACCACATGACAGGGCTAGTTCTGGTCAGTTCTCTGATATAATCGATTTGTTCTATAAAAGAACTGATCAGAACCACCCCTATTGTTTTATTTTATTTTTGAACTTTTTAATTTTTTAATCACCGGATAGAGAAATTGGATGTCAAATCTAGATTGCCGATCCGTTGAACCCGACAAAAAATGGGGATACATTGGAATTTTAAGAATTAAAAACATATTTTGAGATTTTTTGGTTTGTTTTTGATAATGAAGCATGATGATTAGTTGACTGATTAATAAAATACTTTATCCATAGTGCCCTCGTGGAAAGAATGATTCCTGGTGAATTTGCCATGCCGAAAAAAGAAAAAACAGGAGAGAGAAAACATCTCATCGTAACAGACTAGTAGTCAGCACTCGAGGAAAGTAATATTTATTTTATTTTTTTAATATAAATTTTCATTTTTTTTGTTTTGAAAATACGCCATCGTAAACGTGTTCCTCCTTGTGACCAATCATATCACATACCAATTTCTTGGAAACCAATCATTCATTGTCACTCAAAAAACTGTAAAAGGAAAATGATAAATTAGGAGAATTGGAAGAAGGGCTAATCGACATTAAAGTTTGGGATCCATTTTTTAATTCGATTTAACGATTCACTTTTAGAAAAAGTAAATAGATTTTGAATTTTTCAAATACTTAGATTTGATTATCGAAAATTTAGATGCTCTATGCTCGATCTTGGAATTATCTTTTTTTATGTGCGCATTGATCTTGTACTATTTTTTCTTTTCTTTTTTCTTTAGAGGGTGATCAGTTGAGGCACACTTATTATGATCGGACAAAACCGGTCAGTGCCTTTGTTTAGTTTCAAGTAAAAACTAAGTTGGGCCAAAAATTAGTTAGATCGTATTTGACTCGTTTTAGCTCTTGGGCTGTATGATATTGACCGGTTTGATTGTCAAAATAAAGCTAATCAGCTTTTTTTTTTTGTAAAAAATATGTTTTATACTTTTAAATTATTATTATACAGAAAAATCAATTTTGACTGTACCAAATTTTCTTTTGCGAAACAATTTTAACTGCACCAAACTCCTCATGAGTTCTATGGGGCCTTTCGGTACTTATAATACTGGGTTGGGGAGGTTACATCCGCAAAGTTGAACACCTAAATATACTGATATATGGGTTTTAACCTAAATATACTCATATATGGGCTTTGAAATTAAATTAAAAATGTGAAATATGAAATCTTTGACCAAGAAGAATAACCTTCTCTTTTTTTATTGAATTTAAAAGTATATGCTGCCTCTATGAAAAATTGTATATTTGAGACTTTTTGACTGCGTCGATAAGAAAACACGCACATGTGCTGCCCGCCTTTGTCTCTTGTAAAAAATCGGCAACTTCAAACCTTCGCATATGTTTTGTTTTAATTAATCGCCGATTAATTCATCCACCAACCATTTTCTCTCTCTAACTTGAGTCTTTTTCCGTGTATCCTTTCTCTACTTTTTATTTTCTCTCTCTTGACTTTTCTGTTTACTCTTTCCACTTGTTCAATACTCGGCCAGCTTTGGCCGCTTCCACATTACGTTCCCCGAACCATCTTGAGGACCCTCCTCAATCAACCTACTTTCTCTCTTCACACACTATATAACCTCCCCTCTTCCTATCAATTAGCATCACCACTCCTCTTCTCTCTCTCTCTCTCTACCACCCATTTTAGCATCTTACATTCACTGCATAACCACCCTCTCTCTCCTAGTTTTCTCATCCCTCAAGAACTGCATAGCCTTTCTCTCTCTATAACTTAAAGAGTTTCTCTCACTAAAACACCGAGCCAGAGAAAGATGGGCAGCCTCCCTGAGAACTTCGACTCCTCCGTCATGGATGCACCCCACCCTCTAGACCCTGAGGACTTCCGAAAGCAAGCCCATATTATGGTCGATTTCATCGCCGACTACTACCAAGATGTCGAGAAGCTCCCGGTTCGTAGTGAGGTCGAGCCCGGATACCTCCGGCACCGCCTCCCCGACTCGGCCCCTTACAACCCCGAGCCCCTCGAGAACATCCTTGAAGATGTCAAGAGCCACATCGTCCCCGGCATCACCCACTGGATGAGCCCTAACTATTTCGCTTACTTCCCTTCAAGTGGTAGCACTGCCGGGTTCCTCGGAGAGATGCTGAGCACCGGCTTCAACGTCGTGGGCTTCAACTGGCTCTCGTCGCCTGCCGCCACCGAGCTCGAGAGCATCGTGATTGACTGGATCGGTAAAATGTTGTGCCTTCCCAAGTCTTTCTTGTTCTCTGGAGGTGGTGGGGGTGTCCTCCAGGGGACCACCTGCGAGGCCATCCTCTGCACCCTGGCTGCGGCCCGAGACCGAAAGCTGAAGAAGATTGGGGGTGACAAGATTGGCCAACTTGTTGTCTATGCCTCAGACCAGACGCATTGTGCCCTCCAGAAGGCAGCGCAGATTGCCGGTATCCGCCCCGAGAACTTCCGTGCCGTCCCAACAACAAAATCCTGCAACTTTGGGCTATCGCCCGCTGCACTCCGCAGGGCCATGGAAGAAGATGTGGCAGCGGGGCTCGTCCCCCTCTATGCCTGTGCAACAATAGGAACCACCTCCTCCACCGCCGTCGACCCCCTGGAGGGCCTCGGCAGGGTTACCAGGGACTTCGGTGTCTGGCTCCATGTAGATGCCGCTTACGCCGGCAGTGCATGCATATGCCCGGAGTTCCGTCACTTCCTTGACGGGGTCGAGCTTGCTGACTCGTACAGCATGAACGCGCACAAGTGGTTCTTTACGAACCTCGACTGCTGTTGCCTTTGGGTGAAGAACCCCGACGCCCTGGTGCAATCGCTGTCGACGAACCCCGAGTACCTGCGGAACAAGGCCACAGAGTCGAAGATGGTGGTGGACTACAAGGACTGGCAGATCGCACTATCGAGGCGGTTCCGGGCCCTGAAGCTCTGGATGGTGCTCCGGAGCTACGGGGTGAGCAACCTCCGGAACTTCCTCCGGAGCCACGTCCGCATGGCCAAGCAGTTCGAGGGGCTCGTGAACGCCGACCCCCGGTTCGAGATCGTCGTGCCGAGGACGTTCGCCATGGTGTGCTTCAGGCTCGCACCACCAACTGGGTCCCGGTGGGAGACTGACAATGGCGAGGAGCTCAACAAGGCGCTACTCGAGGCCGTGAACTCGACTGGGCTCGCCTACATGACGCATGCCGTGGTCGGCGGCGTGTACATGATCCGGTTTGCTGCCGGCGGGACGCTCACAGAGGAGCGGCACATATCGGCCGCATGGCGCCTGCTGCAGGAACAGGCTGATGCCTTGTTAGGCACTTGCGAGACCAAGGAGGTCCAAGCGTTGTGGGAAGGGTGGTAATACTAAAAATCCGACCTGTACATTCCACACCTGATTTTTTATCTTGTACGTTGGAGCAACCGTCTTGGTCCCCGTGATGAACACAGAATTCACGTCATTCTTTTATTATTTACCGTCAAGTCCAACTTTTTTCATTATATCAATGTGTAAATCGATTGATGTTGAATGAATTGAGACGTTCTCTTCACTTTCGCTCTATGGTTCCATAAATTCACATGGCATCAAAGCTTCCGCCTCGCTTTCATTTACCAATCTTTAAACCTCCTAACCTTCCTTACATCTCTCCAATACTCACTTACAAATCTCTCTCTCTCTCTCCAAAACTCACCTATCAAAGCCTCTCTTCTCAAATTGCCACTTCCAAGATTGTTTTTTTGGTTTTTATTAATGCATTATTGTCATTGCTAGGGTCATAGTTTTTTTGTCCAGAACTTTTTTTTTTTTTTTAAAAAAAA